CTGGCAACCGACTTGATCTGTATCTACAAGGTGGCACATGCAACATATCGGTGTGATTTTCTCGTAAACCAATGTTTTATAATAGTATGTTTTGAACAAAGTTAACATTTTTAGATTTTTCTAACGCAACGTCACTTTGATCTGATGTAAGGCACCCGCCATACTTGATCCTCTCAATCCGCTTGATCCGCTACGTGCAAAACGCGCGCACACAGCAGTTTGTCATCTGGCGCCTCGTAGGTAAAAAGGGATTTTGTATGGTTGTGCACATTCGTTGTACGCCGCGCCAAATGACAAATCAGTGACGCGCGCTTTGCGGACCAAGCGGAATAAGCGGAACAAGCAGATCAAGAGGATCAAGTATGGCGGGTGCCTAAGCTGTGTTTCAGAAACAGACTTACAAGTTGCACAATAAACTACTGCTTATAGGTTATAAACTGTTTCTATCTATTCATTTTTGCATTGTAGTCAGTGAAGAAGCCGAATTTCAATTGTGCTAAAAAGTCGTCCATTAGTATTATCCTGGAAACTATGTTTCGCAACTTATTTCATAACTTTACTCTCTTTGCATGTGGCGTATCCAATTTGGCAATGGTTAGAGCTACAACTGCGTACAGTCTGTTCGAATTTTGAACAAGAGTGGGAAAATCAAGGCATTCTTCGAAAACTAGTAAATCTCGAGAACTTTTGGGGTTATAAGCTAGAATGAAGCCTTTAGCAGCCTAGATCATGCACGAAAATTCGGAATTGTGTATGATTGGCTGCCAGAGTTAACTCATTCGGCTCAGTAAAAAAGACATGAAATTTAGAGACAAGTCGAGATTTGGCCCCTCACAATTTCGAACGAGCCACTGCAATCAAGGGAATTCTGAGGTTCTGATTCTTGGGGACAAACGTCAATGACTGAGGAATCGGAAGTTCAAAATTCGCCGAGACTTCACATAGTGGGATTATCAGCTGTCAAACATAAAAATCATATTCATGTATGAATTCAACGCTCTTTTCTCAATTGGGGTGAGACTCTATACTGTAAACCTACGGTAATCTTGCAAAAGAGCCTTACCATGCAATTTTTTGTGGTCCGCTGTCGGATAACACCCCTATGCCAAGAGACAAATTCGTGAAATTCCATAATTGTCCCTACATAACGCACACCTATCTAACCCTCACTGCGACGTCAGCTATGTAATTTACGTCATAGCTTACATATTGGCAAAGTTTGAACCCCATGTTAAAAGGGAGGAAAGTTTTTGAAAAAAATGCAAAACTTAGTTTCCAACTCAGTAAGTCATTGATTGTATGCTTCTACGTTTACACTACCGCTAATGATTCGTCAAAAAAAGCCGCCGCACTTTGGCAGATTGCGCTGCGATGCGCCGGAGTGCACCTGGAGTGCGGAAGAGAGCAGCGAAGGCCGGGATCCGCATCGCATCGCCACATCTCGCTTTAGAATGGACGAATTCCGAATCGAAGAAAAATTCGACTTATCTCGCTGACGCATCTTCTGATGTATGGAAGTACCGCAGTCTGTTAGAGCACGGTAGATATAAGGTAAGAAGTTAGTTTTCACCAGTTTCATGTTTTTGCTTAGATGGGTCTGTGCTTGAAACAACATTGACATTGGTTTGTTGTTAATGGTATATTGTAGGTACACCGTAGGAGTACGATAAAGATTTCATTGCTTGGTTTGTTCTAAAATCTGCTCAAGGTGTTCATCTGATGCGCTGATTGCGACAGTTACATTCGTTCGCTGCCTAAAGCACTGGCCATACGTGCAGCGATTTCATCGTCGCGATCCCGACGCCTGGGAATTTCATGATCAGAACGACGAGATCCGACTACCAAATCGCTGGTCGTGGGTTCTGGACATACCTACCTATTCAGCAATAAGGTGAAAATACACATTTCAACGCTCGTTTTACCTTTTTTTCTGCGTGCTGACTTACCACTCTTATGGTGAAGTCTAAGATGTGGTGGCTGATCAGTCTTATGGAAAGGCGGTAGTTGGAGTTTGGTGGCTTCCTTTGTGTCTATACAGGACACATAAGCTTATAACAGCTTTATTGAGACATCAACCTCAATTGGGCAATGATAGAATGTGCTCCCAATAAGCGGAGAAAAGCAAGGTAATGCATATTAAACAAAGATATGACTCGAATTCGCGAGTGGGTGACCTAAAGGCTATAAAGGATTGCAATAAGGAGGATTTGATAAGACTTGCCGAATATAGCGGCACATTTTGCCATTCAAAAACAGTATTCAGCGTGATTTCTCTACATCTGCAAGTTTTTTTTGTCCCTTGTCGACAGCGATACGTTCAACATCAACAATTCATATTAATTTCTCGCGTACATCTGCCGCTCAACTTTCATTAGATTAGAATGCAAAGCCAGTTTTTTAAAGTTGTAGCTGCGGTTTCATACGTTGCTGATTTTTCGCGATATTCAGATATCTGGATTACTACGCATGTTAGAGTCTGATCGTTCGTCGCTGCTGGAATATACCTGCAAAGCTGTTTTGTACATGTTGAACACAATAGGCCGTATTGTGATTTGGATGTCGGACAAAATGTACCAAGATGTTTTATTGCTGGGTTTGCGATACCACCTAGTTTTGTAGCTTCGCCTGCGAGATGGACTTGCTCGCTGCTGGTTAATTAGCATGCTAGTTCTTTTTTCAGGCTTTCTTCAAAAATTATCATTCATGAAAACGAGCAAATGGTTCGAGGATTCAAAGTACTATAGACGGATCTGCACATGCTGCAGCGACCCTTGCTTTAAGGTCGCTGTATGGATGACTGCTGCGTCATATGCCCAACCCAAGCCAAAGTACATACTTGCTTTTCAATTAAATCAGCAGGTCATCAAACATCGTTTTTACGAGGGAGAAACCTAGCGGGGGTGGTTGCCGTTCCTAAATGTGCAGATACATCTCGCAGGCGGAAGCTACAAAACTAAGTGGTATCACAAACCCAGCAGTAAAACATCTTGGTACATGTTTGTGTGTGTGCAGATCCATGTCGCAGGCGGAAGTCACAAAACTAAATCGCAAACCCAGCAGTAACAACACCTTGGTATTTTGTCAGACATCCAAATCACAATGCCTATTGTGGGCAACATTGTGGTACAAAATAGCTCTGCGGGTATGTTCCAGCAGCGACGGACGATCATACTCTATCGCGTTAGCACAAAAAATTGCGGCTTTCAGTGGCTATGCCGCAGTTGAGTACGACCGTGGAGCAAGTGGGCCTTCTCGAAGCAGAGCCTATGATATGAGCACTGACAACGAGATCTCCTTCTGCCTGCCATCCATTTGTGATGAATTGAGCAGGGCATTGCGGCGAGGCGTAATCAGGCGGGTTTGCACGGCATCGTAAGAGTGGTTGATATCACTTCCGCTAACCTCAAACGCCAATTGGTTCGTAATCGAGCTTGGAGAAACATCGCATAACGCACCATGGTAAGGCTCCAATGCTAGTTACTGTAAAGATCTTGCCGATAGAACCAAGTGCTCACGCGCAAAACTTAATATGCGTTTTAAATTAGCGCCAAAAACACAAAAATGAGCCGGAAGGAGGAGTGTACCGCCATAAAGAGAGGACTCGCGCTTTATCAGTTTTTATGCGAATTTGAATGTGAGGCCGGGTCATTAAGGCACGTATAAAAGGCTGAGGTAAAGTATATAGGTGGTCCTCGGACTCCCGTCTTGTGCTATCTAAGGTGAGTAATGTGCTTGTGAAATGATTTTGTTTATCATTAGCTTTGTTTTCGAATGATACTTTGGTCTTTTATTGAGTCTGGGAGAGTAAGTTCATATGATTTCGGCTTGCAGGCTCTAAAGAAGGCGAAAGCGCCGAAACATTAGCGAATAAAGAACTTTTGTCAACCTTGAAAGTTCGCTCAGCCAATTTAACGCATTGACGACCATGCAAAGATTTCTAGTTGTCTGCCTTCTGGGACCATGCAAAAATTTTTAGTTGTCTGCCTTCCGGGACCTTTTACGGACCAGCCCTTTTCACTATATTTACGCATACTGCCATCTACAGTACATCTACAATAGATCTGAAAGGCTGACAAAAAAGTAGAGGCCATTCGATTTAGTGCAAAAGAAGGCTCGTGGAGTGAGTTCATCCCAGGATAGTAGTCATTTTAACAAAATTTAAACGGTCGTCAATGTGTAATTACGAGTATGCGAATAAATTTTAGAAGGAAGCGATTATAATGCTTGAAGACCTTGCAATATCACGAATAATATACATCAAAGGAAGTGTGAGAGAATGGTGTGCTATAAGAAGTGTGCTCGGAATGGTGTTTGGTAAATGGTTCAACTACAAGAAAGAATCACGTTCGTTAATGGAAGTATTCACGAGCAATTTTCACCTGACATCTTCTACGCGTTCGACAGATTTAAATCCAGTCGGTTTTGTTTTCTCTTGAGAAGTGTTCAGCAAATGCAAAATTATTTCCACAACTACTAATTTTTGGCGGACACCAGCCTTATTTTCTTACAAAGAGTCGGGTAGCTGGACGTCCTTCTTTAGTAAGATTTGTGAAGAAGACTCAAAGAAAATACTGAAGCTAAGAAGACCCATATGCAAGACCCATATTCTTGCCTAGAGTGACCTGTGAAGCTGAATTTTAGATCACTCTGTTCAGCTGCTATCCCCTTTTGCCCTAAAATCCCCATTACCATGTATTAGGTATTGTATGAAGACTCTGCTTCAAGACCATTTCACTACTCTTTCATTTCGTCAGCTGCACCAACAATTCAACACTTTCGCATAACTCTGAACATCTTATCAATACCAACGCATACCTCAGCCAAAGAATCTTTATTAAAGCAGTAGCAAATCCTTAGGACTAACTTACCTAAATAGTCAGTATTCAATAGCAACGACCCGTTTTTAGGAGATATTGCAAGTAGTCTAAGGCGACTTAACAATCTATAAATAGGCTTCGAGCAGATCGGGCACACTCTTGCTAAGCAGTTTTCTCCTTTGCTCAAGCGATGGAGGCTGGTGCCTCGCCTTTGGTTGTTTTCTTCGATGCTGTTGAAGCCTTCTGGCTAGCCCACCATTGAACTTCAGCTGATCCCCAAACGTTGAAGACGATCAATGGGAGAAGAGCAATCGCTGTTGATATGTAGAATACCATATTCCATTCCATTGCAGTTCCATTCTGAAGCAAAAAATGCTTATTTTGACGAACTTGGAATGTTTTTATCCGAAAAGATACCTCACGAAAGAGTCAAATGTTTAAATACCTGTGCAATCCACTTTGTCATGATTGGATTCACAATTCCGGAGCAAGCAACAAAGAAGAAAGCGAATCCTGTGATGGCTCCGGAGTATGCTGGAGCTAAGGATACTAAGGCTGTTTGACAGCCAGGTGTATGCAACCCTAAAGCAGATAGATTTTATTCCAAGCGCCTGACCTAAAACCCTCCTAGGAGATTATAGGAAACAAACCTGCCGATGCCATGCTCAAACATAAAAACAGCACTGCAAGAGGTGCACGAGATGAATCAAGCAGAGTAGCAGCAAAAAGGAAAGCACCAAGACCAAAGGATGCGATGGAGTTGAGAATCTGAAAATTGTTTGAAGCCCTCACTTCCGGACCATTGATACGGCAGGTTTTAAGACCCGATTGAGATCGAACCAATTTTGTTTCAGCTTTAAGGTTGGTTGGTTATGCTGTACTTCGATTCGAGCCAATCTGGTCCAAACTTTGTCTACGGTTAATTATCGAGCATGTCGATTACAAAAATGACATCGCCTTACATAAGTGAAAAAGCTTTTTTGCGCCACTTAGGTGGATGACAATAATGAATGATCCAATTTCGTGGGAGAAAAATTTACGCAAATTTCTTTTCGGGTGCTACCGACATCACTTACTACTATCACCTCTACAGTTCTGAGCAAGCTTGTGATTTTTTAAAATTTGGTGTCCCTGCCATGACCCCGTAAACAGCCTTGTTCTGCGGAAAACACTATGATGTTCTTGGTTAGCGTGCCGAAAAACCGCTCTGCACAAAATTATAACAAATTCCAAATTTAGCCGATTTTTGTCAACTAAAAAATGGCGTCAAAATACCTATTCTGACATAACTACAGAAAATTAGAGTATCCGATTTTGAAAAAAACATTTGTTGCTATTTCACTGATTTATTGAAAATTTTATTACAATCGGCTGTCAACGATTTTTTAGGAAAACCTAATTTCTCAAGATTTGTGCACCATTGAGTGAAAGTATTCGCCTACCTTACAAATCGTGCTTCTCCTCCAAATGGTGTGCCTTTGCAGCCATGTGTTAGCATAGCTACTTGCTAGCTTCGACAGCCAAAGTGAAGCGGTTGGAAGGGCGGAGAGGATACCGTTTTTGGTTGACTTGTAGTGATGCACGTCATGAAGGTAACTGAACATTTTTGTGGTTACACCAAGTTTTCCTGCAAACCAACGGGATTATTGGGTTTTCAAATAGTGCACTCCCTTTCTTGACTGATTGGAATATTACGGATAAGTACTGGCTCTTACCTTGGCAAAAACATGATCATTGTCATCAGTGGGAATTCATGGCAGATTACTGCTATCACTGATGCCCAAACTGCAGGAGAGCCAAGAATTCGCAGCCATGGAACCTGGTGATTATTTTTTGTAAGAAATATTTCAATGAAGTCTTTTGAAAACACCTTTCGCTCAGTTCTCTTTTTTCCAACATCCTCATTGGCGTTAGACAAAGCAATAAATTTCACTTCAGCATCCGATATGCATGTTTGTTTGCTAGGCTTGTCAGCTCCTGGAGAAACATACATGAAAAATAGCAAGCTGTGGCAGTGCTATATGTGTATTTAGCAAGCTCAAATCTCTAGGAGAAACTTGAGTAATCTCAACAAATGCTTTTTTTCAAAATCTCTTCAAGAATTATCAACCAAAACCAAGCAAATGGTTTTAGAATTTTGAGTGAGATCAGCTAAGTCTTTAAGTACCGATAAAATGTTATCCCTACAGACAAACCTATGGCAGAGTAAAGAGTCACAAAGAAAACCCCGACGGCTGCTGAAAGGTAGAATATGGAGGGCCATCCGCCGAAGAGAGCTGTTTGGGCGCAAAGGGCACCTGCCACCGGGATGATGATGAGTGTTCCTAAAAAATTTACAGTGTATCCTAGATCCCAGTAAAGTGGGTAAAAGTAAGGATGATTGAGTGTTATTGAGACTATATCTTTTTGGAGTAAAGCATACCTAGCTGACGTCCGCCAGTAGCAAGACCTAGAGCATAGCTCCTCTCTGTACTAGGAAACCATCTGGTTAAAAGTGAATTCACTGCTGGTTGTAGTAGAGCATCAGCGAATCCAACTAGGAAACGTCCACCAATGGCGAAGTACACACTAAATGTGAAGTTCATAGAAGGAGATGCACATTCCCATAGTTCAAAGATGGCTGGAAATCGTTTGGGCATGAAAAGCAAAAGGGATATCATTTCTGCTGTATTCAAGGCGGAGTCCCGTGAAAAGCACATATCAGCTTGGTATGGTGTATGAAATAATGAGCGTCGCTTCGCGAAAGATTGGAGTCTTGGGAGCGGTAAGAAATTTTTAGAAAATCTTACCGTCACGCAAGGGGATTTTTATATGAAATCAAACGAGTAAAAAACTCCAAGGCGTTAACCAACTTTACGCCAATCAATTCGGCAAATTTTTGCAGCCCTCCCGCTGGCAATCAAAACTTCAATATCTATAATACAAAATATCCCAACGCTATTGCCACATGAGTTATACGCATACATATGTACTACTAGTCATCGCTCCCCACCCTCACGATCACTCCCTCTCCCCCCCCCCCCCCCCCCATCCTCTTTTATTCACCTCCTCATCTGCTGGGGAAGTCGCAAGTGCTCATCACTACCCATTTGCAAAACCAGCGATTTTTCGCTTTTCGTGCAAGCGCGGAAGCAGAAGAAAATAAAAGTCTTGTCATCGTGCTCAGAAGTAAAAAGTCTTGTCTATAGCTAAGAACAAATGATATGACACAAAAACTGGTGTGTAGGCGTGCAATGGAGAGTTGGAACTGTGCATGGATTATGAAGAATTCATGTAAACTAAAGGCGTTGCAAACTTTTCTCTGGGTAAGGTATCTTTTGAGCCACCTGGTGAGCCACCTGAGGCGGCTTACAAAGGAAAAAGTCACATATTTCTCTCCCTTCACATGGTTCTCACACATTTTTTGCATAGCATTATTCTGAGGTTTTGAACTCTAAAATTATTTTATGAAACTCCACAAACCCCCTCCTCCCCGCCTACTTATAGCTTTCCAAAAAATATGAATGGCGGCGGTAGCCCTGCGCCAAGTGCGCGGTGATGCGCGCAGGACACGGCATGCCGCCAACTTGGAGGATGCGAGCATCGCTGGCTTTTCTATTGCGTGTTTCATCGTTTTCGTATCCTGTACTGTTCTTCTTTATTCTCAGGTTTGGCTCTATAGATGCCGTATTTTTGTTGCGAAGTCAAGGGGACTTCGTTTTTGAGAAATTGCCAGAGCCACCTGGTGCCAAGCCTTTTCCAAAAGCTAATTCTAATACGGGCTGAACATTTTTTGGTCAAACCTACCTAATTGGCGAAAACTGCGCGATGAGCAGATTTGCCACAACGGCTAAGCTAACACTGGCAACGATCATATACTTGGCATTGAATTTATCGGCGATGAAACCCGTCAAAAGCATGAAAAGTAGACCGCCGTTGAATGCAGAGAAGATATATCCCTGAAACACTTTTACGAAGCAAACAGGAAGGAAAGGAGATGCAAAAACTGACTTCCTGTTCAGAGGTCCACCTGAGTCTTGGAGCTGCGTTCGGATCAGCTATGGTATCTTCCGTGTATTCTGTGGAATTAACCATGCATACCACCGCCATTCCCATATTGCTGTTCATCATGTGAACACTGAGATTTTTGTAAATTTTCTTTACGCTTTAAAAATTTCTCGGAACTCCTTTACCTGGCAAAACAGAGGCACAGTAAGCTAGCTGTTAGTAGTCGCCAGCTAGGAAACCAGCGGTAGGCGCTAGGACGTGGTGGGGGTAAGCCATCGCATACCGGATGCACGGCGGACATGCCACGAAGTAGCTGATCTGAAAACAGGTAAGGTTTGTTACTTAGAACCCATACCGAAAGTTATCCGTTTACACAGTTATAAAATCTCTTCAGAGTCATAATGACTTTCGAGTGCGAGCGCATCTTTTTATCATCAGCACCATTATTCACTACCTTGAATTCACTGTGAATGTTACGATGGGGAATAGTTTTAAGCTAGCGGTAAGGAAAGCAGAAGAAGGATTGCAAGGCAAACTTGAGATCTTTCCTTCATTGATGGAACTTTGTCGGAAGATTTGCTTTGGAGATATAGTTCATCTAACATCTTTAAAAATTGGGTTATGATTTAGATGCTCGTAACTTTTGCTCATTCAAAGTGTTTTACTGTGTCTCATTGTAGAACTATCTTTATCTCGATTTTGATGTATTCAATATCTCGAGTACTGTATGGATGTGGGATGATATATATTATTGGCCACTGCAAATTTATTACCTTTGGAGGCTAGAAATTCTTTTCCAAAATTTTTTGAATAAATTGAAATTAATTTGAATGTGCTGGTTATGAAGGAATATTATAAAATGCATTGTTCTGTATTATTACGATAGATTATTGCGTCAGTTGTTATAGATATATCGTCGCGAAATTTGCACAGGTAAAATTTACTATGAAGGCTTTTGAGACTATAAAGGAATACATAGCTCGAAAAAAACTTGATTGCAGACGTTACAGGCTTGCTAAGATTCACAGTCTAAGGATGAATCTTTCCGAAGAGTTATCAAGAGCCATAAACTAGTATATGAGATGTGCATGATGTGATACAAAGCTTTACAAAATGTCTTCGAAAATTTCGAACATTCTGCCTATTGACCTCATGTATGCAAATGAATCTTTGATGGACAACGAACTCCTGGAAATTTTGTATGAAGATGTTCATTGATTTTATTACATTTGATGGAAGCATTCTCCCGAAAGCAAACAAATACAAGTTTTTTTAAAATCAATCTAAACAATCACTTCGAACCATGCGAAATATAATGAAAATGATGAAAGCAAGCCGGATTCTCACGTGCGCTCTTATAGAGCTTAGCTAAACGGACAGTGTTGACTATCGGTCGGGAAGAGGTGCTGCATTTCCGGTCCGGTAAAACGCCACCGGCATTACGATCATGCGCACCGCTAATTGTTTGTTTATGTCTCATCGTTTGATCTATGATACGCGGGTCGGGACCGCTCATCTCATGCGTTCAAACCCAAGGAATTCTTGACATGAGACACCTTCAGATTGAAAAAAAGGGTGTAAGCTTAGCCTTAGCAGAATAAATATGCGGAAAAACCCCGAGGCAGATCTGAAAGACGCATATAAAAAGAGCCAGCAGTTTGCGCGCTCTTTTTGAACAGAGGTGTCGGTTGTTAGTTACGGTGTCACTACGGTAATCACCGGACAAAATTGTACCTGTTTTGAACCAGGTGCAATACCTCTTCTTGTGAGAAGAAATCATCGCACTCTGCCGGAGTTCGCCAAAGTTCGCATTGCATCGCCATATATTGCTTTCGAGTGGGCGAATTCTGAACCCAAAAGCAACATTCAACTCAGCTCGACGAGATGCGTCCTATGATTTATGGAAGTGCTTGTCTAAGTACGGTAGTTGGTCCAATTTTACAGACCTCTCCAGATTTTTGCTTACGGTAGGTCACTCTTTGTGCTATGAATAGGCACTCTGATTAAACTACCGCAACCAAAAATCGGGAAAGACCCGTAAACTTTAACCGACCACCCTACTCAAAGAAGCACTTCCATATATCATAAGGCGCATCTCATCGAGCTGAGTTGGATGTTGCTTCTGGATTCAGAATTCGTCCACTCTGGTGCAAAATATGGCAATGCAGCGCAAAATTCGGCGAACTCCGCCGGGTGCGCTGATCTCATTCATAAATTACGGGAGGTAGTGTTCATATATTGAAGATACCTCAAACAACAATTGTTCTCTGATAACACTACGTACAATGGTTTTAAATCTATTGCTAGTTTTAAAGACCTAGGTGAGATTTCAAAACTTATGAGTTAAAATACAAATAAAGTGCAATAAGTGGTGCTTTACTGTCAGCAGTAGTCACAATAGCCCCGCTCGGCCTCTCTACTTCTATTATAATTAGTGGCATTGGCCACCAGTTATTTATTTTAGACTAGATCTGTCGGGGTAAACAGCTTTTTCTCAAAAGTAATGCGCTAATCAAATAGGATACGTGCAAAACAATAATGGAAAGGAATAAGAACTTTTCCTTTGCTGTTGCAGATGTTTTTGAGGTTTGGCTAGCAAGTAGAACATGCAAACAGTCAAAGTTACCGAAAAAGTGAAATTGGTCTTGCAGAGAAAAATTTGGGAGAGAACCTTGCCAGTATAGTGTAGTACTTTAGCTTACAAACGGTGTGGACGCCTAAAAATATTATTAGGTGGCAGAAAAAATAAATGAGCCGCCATATATGTTTACTCTTTGAACTTATGTACAAATGGACGTAAACCGGGATTACCCAATAGATTTGCGATTTGAGACCGGTTGGTGATCAGCGTAAGACTATAATTTTTGTTGGTCTTTTTTACATATTGGAGAAAAATAAAAAATAAATTCTTCAGTTACCATTATCGAAAATTTTAGAAACAAAAAGTGGGAAGTGAACTGAGCTGACATTTCAGTTTACTGAATTTGA